AAAATACTTAAACATTTATTGAGATCACTGTTTTGATTGGGGTTCTACTTGCAAATTCTGCTTTGACCTGATCTTAGTTAGAAGTAATGAACTACGTGTGTATGATGATGTGAAGACTAGTGCACTATGATCAAAGTGATGAAAGCTATTGCAAATAGCCTTTGCGGATAGCCAATGGGTTGATCTCTGATTTTTTCCTTAATAACCAAACATTCTTTGATGGTTTCACACTACACGATACTGGAAAATGTTGAACTCTCCTCTAGCCAAGTATGCACAAGTGTGTAAATAAAGTGTTTTTTCGTGTTAAGTTTTATTTAGTTGTGTTACACCTGCTGATGAGAATCATTCTTTCTTGCCAAGTTCCTAATGATAAGCATTTTTCACCTAAGACATAATGGGATTTTTATCATTTATTTGTTCTGATTATCACTAATGGCCCATGTGTGTGAGATCTGTATGTCAAGTAGGGTTATTTAAGATGGATCTCTAGGTCAAAGAAGAACACGCCGCATACTCCTTCTACGTCTGAAAATTACGGATGAGCGAAGATCCCAGACCAAGAACTCAAGGTCAAATCATGGCTTCATTGATCCGCAATCTTGCCAGAAACCCTACCACTCCATCCCCAGAGAAGCTGGAACGATCAAAGGTAGTTGAGCATGAAGGCACTTCTCGCAACAAGATATGTCGTCGTAAAGCTCATCGAAAGAAAAAAACTACCACAATCGATGAGATCTTCCCAGATCAACCTTCTGAGCTGTCATCAGGTGGTCGCTGATAGTCAAGATGAAGAAGAACCACCGGAGGTCAACATACAAGACCAAAGCGAGGATGAAAATGAAGATGATGAACCTGAACTGATGGAAACCAATGCATGAGAGGGGTTTGTCTATCAGGAACTATAACCGCAACCTCAACATCTCAGAGCTCAGTATCAAGCTCGTCTCGCAGCCATTCCTAGCTTGGTAAATCCAAAGCATCAACCGTTCAATGGGTCATTCTACCGAGCTGCAGGGAGTAAAAGGTACGAGTGTTTGCTTTCTCAAACCATTCTAGGAGAAAAGATTCTACCTTTAGGTGATGAGAAACTCGTGGAAGCCATAAGTATTATTGAAAAAGCTAAGTTGATGTATACGGTTCTGGATCTGCTACGCGGGAAGTGGTGTTGGAGTTATATGCTAATCTCGGGAATATGATCAAGCAAGGTGGTACTACTTGGGTGTTTGTGAGAAATCACATGTATGAATTCTCTCTCACCATAATCAACAATACCTTCAAGACGCTAGCCCAACCAGTTGATTTTCCTCGGAAGCTATGGGTCACTGAGAATCTTGATAATGCTGTGGAAACCATGACTGGAGGAAAGAAGAAGAAATAGGGAAATCTCAGTATGCTTGATATAACGCCAGCTATGAACATTCTGTTCAAGTTCTGTGTGTACAACTGGATTCCCTCACCAAATTGATCAACACTGGCCATAGATCGAGTCAAGTTCATTCTCATGATAACCAAAGGAAGGCAATTTGGTTTTGGAGTCATGGTGTTTGATCAAATCTTTGAGTTGGGTCAACAAGCAGCATCAGGCAAAATAAATAAACTTCTCTTTCCTAGTCTTATTCAGCACTTACTTCAGCCTCAACATGCTATACCATTCGACCCTGAAGACTCTGACCTCAATGAGCTTGGGAAGATGATACTTGATGGAAAGCAGGGTCTCCCGAAGAACACCGAGGAACAGCCCCTAGGCGCTCATTGACAAAGGATCTTGGTCATGTTCATCGACTCTTTGATAACATCATCTGACGGTATGCTAGTAAGTATTCTTTGTTTCCTTGTTAAGTTTTGGTTTCATAACTTGGTTTTTAAGTGTCTATGCCACCAAGAAGGGAGAGAATATGGTGATTTTTCTAATCTAGGTGATAGCAGCAGTGATGAAGATGAAGAAAGTGGTGACAGCCATAGCGAGGAGTTCTAAGTTTTAATGGGGTTGGATATAGGGGGAGTCTATGTTGTTGGTTTTTGTGTCTATGTAAGGATCAAGTAGTGAGGGGAAGTTTGTTTTTCTATGGGGTTTGGATCTAGGGGAGTTTGTATTTTCTTAGTTGGAAGCTTCATGAGATGGATAAGATGCTAGTTTTTCTTGGTACTGAAGTACGGTTGTAATGGTAGGAATGATGGTGTTGTATCTCTAAGACGATCATTTGGATGAATGCTATGGATTTTCGTTAACTAACCAGAGTGTGTATTTCTACATAAGTGGTTGCTATTCAGTGGTTTATGTCACAGGTGCTTGGTGATAATAAACACTCAAAAAGGGAGAGATTGTTGGGACCTGAAACCTGGTGAAGTGTTCAACAATAGCAAGACTGCTCGAGTCTGAGTTTAGGCGGGAGTTATTCAAATGCATGTGTTGACGTGGCAAGTGAAGAATTATCTTTTGACGGGATATACATAAATCTGAGAGATTCTAGGAAGTAGAATAGATAATTTGTTGTTATCCTAAAACTAAGGATCAGCTCATCTACGTTTATAATAGGCGAGGCTGGAGGTTTAGGTTTTACGGTTTTTGAGGTAATAGAGATTTTACGGTGAGAGCAAAAGTATTTTGAGTCTCATGTGTTCTTGAAGTTGTTCAGTGTTGATTCACAAGTTGTGAAGTCAAGTAAAGTTGATTAAACAAGTTAGCGTGTAATTTTTTTAAAGAACTTCAATAATGTATTCAGTTTGAAGTTTTGAGTGATTATATCCTTGCTCTAGGTTTTTCAAGCCTCACATGAAAGCTTTCCACCTTTCATGGTTTCAGTTCTTATGTTCCTTCGATACCTCTGTCGCTGCTCCACCTCTCCTTCCAGTTATCCGAGATAATCTTAATGTCACCGCCAAAAACATTGGAATAGCTTCCTTCTTTGCCTTGGTCTTTGTTTGTCTTGCCATGAGCACATCCTGCAATCTATTTGGGCAACATCTTGCCTCTGCCGCATTAACATCTCCCCTGGCCCCGCAGTCTATTCCACCTCCGAGATAAAATAACCACTCTAGGATTTCCAAATATCCATCGGTGCCGGAACTCATAATATCTTAAATGATTAAAAGATTTCGGTGAAAAATATGAAAGCTTTGAGAGAGAGTTAGAAACACATATGATTAAAGGATTATTAAGATTTGCTTACTTGATTCAAGGCAGGAGAACTTCACAGTGAAGTCCTTAAATAAATATTGAGATGATTAAATCATGTTTGAAAACTCATTTGGTCACATCTCATCCATATACTAAAAAGAAGTAAGCATTATAAGTATGATTTTTACGTCAAAAAAAAAAATCAAAAAGATGCTCCTGAGACTTATAAACTTAGTCACATAAAAATGCAAGGAGATGATCCAAGAAACATATACTCTTTTCCACAAAATAAACTGAAACTTAAAAAGCCAAGAAAACAGCGCCAATCCATACTTCTAGTTCCTCAAGATGCTTGCTTTGTCTAGTTGAATCTTTGATCTTATCAGCCTCTGAAAACCATTCCGGTAAACAATCTAAGACAACGTATGCATGTCAACTCTTCTCAACAACGAATGGTCCTACAGCATTTAATGATTGGTTGGAACATGAGTCAAACTACGAACAACTCAACCTAAGATTCACCTTACGAATAACAAATGATGAATGAAATAGATAGAGCCAAATACCAGATGTAGCTTACCTTTGACTGGTTTCATATGTCTGCATCATCATCTGAAGCATTTCCTGAGAAGAGACGAATTCTTAAGAGTTGATGCTATGTGTACCTTCAAGAACAAAAGAACACGAATCGAGTTCATCAGACACATTGCTGGAGGAAACAATATCATTAATTCAATAACACATTGTTGATCAGATACCCATAAACCCAGAAATCCGATATCATCCTCTCGTTGACTGTATTCGTCAATAGCTTGCCCGATAATAAGAAACCGCATCAAGCTTACTGGCAAAAAAAAGTCCAAGGAGTGTGATATTTATTTTACCAAAAGCAATAGTTGTAGATCTTTCAAATAACAGCATTCAATATAGAAACATCAACAGAAATTTCATTCAGAGTAGTGGAGGGAAAAGTGTTATCAGATTCGTAACAAATAAATCATCAATATATGATTAGCTCTATCACTACTTGAAATTTTAAATCTTCAGAGCTACCTTGGCATCGAGGAGAGTCATATTGTAGCCCATAATCTCGCCACCTCTTCACGGTGGCCTGAATCTTGGTTTAGAAAAGCACTCGCTTACCTCGCTTCAACACCTCATGGCGTGGCAACATACATAAAGCGAGCGCTTTCTACACTTTCTTACTAAGTCTCAAGATGCACAAACAAACGCCATACTGATTTTGAATCAAACCGGATTGGTTTGTCAAAATTAGATTACTAAACCAAATACAAACCCTATTAACACCCACCGTAAGTCTCGAGTTTGGAGTTTTCTGCTATTTTTCTTCTTTCTGTTCACATGAATTTACAGCTTTAGTGTTTGATGTTTCTTCTCCTCTTTTCTTTCAATGGTGATTACTATTTTTTCAAAGATGATTACTATTTTATGTGTGTATTTGGCTTTAACTTCTATATTATTATGCCTATATGTTTATGCATTAGCGTTATCTGCTTTCATACACAAAGCAAGCGCTTTGTGTCGCCATGACGCAAGACGAGAGGCGAGACACCCATTGCCTCACTTCGCCATGCGCCATTTTAAACCAAGGCCTGAATACATGTGAAATATACATCAATATTTGCAGAATGGTTCTGTGAAAATTGTCTAGAACAAACTTAAGAAATACAAAAAAAAATTTTAGTAATATGGATCCAGAACGGGGGAAAATTGGGAAAGCATTAAACCAATGTCATACCTCCGTATTATGAGCAGTCGGTGGAGTCTGGGAAGATATGGCAGAAACATGTTTTTTTAAAAATTACTTTTAAAGATAGATTCACGACGGCGAAGAGGTGTAAAGAATCTAACCAATGAGTTAGCTATCTAGTACAAGTATGTCGACTCCCATGAGCTTTCCATCACAACAGACATTACAGACCTCCAAGAAATGGAGCAACCCGACTTGAACAGTGGCAGTGGAGTGACCAGTCTGCAAATCAGAGAGGAAGACCGAGACGCTAGCCATACTTGACAGGAGCTGTTTACTGCTTTGTTTAAAACGAAAGAGATAATGATTTTAAGGTCAGACAGCTCACCTTTTTATAGTACCGCATCCACCACCTTGCGAATTCACAGCCCGTATTGAATACATATCGTGGGTAAAGATTTAACAGAGGGTTTCAACGTGATTTTTGAGTTAGCGGTATCCTTTGGTGATGCGATGAAGAAGACGAAAGATCTCCAGAGAAAACTTCTGTAACCCTAGCAGAGAACACTACGTTTCATCTTTACGGATTTGACTTATGGACTGGATTGGAAGATGATAAAAAGCCCGGTTATATTTGAAGCCCAAATGATTCCACAGATCACGTAACAAACACTTCGATTTCGCCTCCCATGCCACGTGATGAGCTCATAGTTCCTAAATTGATGATGTGCCACTATAGAAAAGAGGAAAAACCTTCTTTATATAATAAGATACCTAGCAGTATCTTAATCATAATTATATAATAAAAAATATTTATTTTTTTAGATCTAATATAAAAAAATATTTCAAATACCTAAAATATTCAATTTATTTAAAATAAACAATAGTAAATATCTGAAAATAACTACAAATTTTCAAGACATCGAAAATATCTTAAATACTTACCAGTTCTCCATCCAAATAACCAAAGTGAACCAATATTTGATCATACAATATTCAAATTTATGTGCTATAATATTTTTGGTTCGCATAAGAATATCCATAGTGATTCATTTAAAAGTGTATGTAGACTTTCCAGACCACCTCAAGTGCCTTGAGTAATAAATCAGCCGTTTGATGTCAAAAAAAAAAAAAAAAAAAGTTTACGTAGACTATGAAAGAGAGTTTTTCATGTTTTCTATTTTGAATTTGAAAAATTTGAAGGTATATTTGGGTTTTTATCTATTGTAACTTAATTTAAATGAGTTTATTGAACTAAACTCTCAAAGATCCAAATCAAATCAAAACTAAATTGAATGAGTTTAAATTGAAAACTCCCAGAATCTGAAACTTGAATAGATCTGATCATATGTGAATGGATAGTCGAACGTCTTCTGGTTCGACTTCTGTTCCGGTTTCGTGTTTTAGATTTTCTTTTCTCATGATGACTAGGTAGATAAACTTGGAAGGTGAAATAATCAAAGAATTAAACCTTTTTATAAGATAAAATAATAAAAAGCATAAAAATCACTCTTGTTGCTGTCACCGAGGCCCAACAGCTACTGTCTCCTTTTTCATTGCCACGAAAGTCATCATCCCATTGCTTAATATAATAACTTTGTAAGTGGATTAGAGACAAATAAAAATCCAATTATTACACCTTTAAAAAAGGATGATTAGATTACCATGCAAATAAGACAAAGCGACTGTACAAATTAAAGCATTCTTGGTTTAAGCAATTAACATAACTTTACAGTTCACAAAACTTCTAAATACATTAAATTGTTTCCTCATAGATAAGATAACTTGATAAGTAACTACAGCCAGCATCTATGCGTAAACGTTTGTGCTGTCCTCATCCAAGTTAAAATACAGTAGCGTATTGGAAATGGAAAGTTCCTTTCAACGTAGACTTTGAGTCGAGCCGAGTCGATTAGAGTAAGCCGAGCCATCAATCTCCCTCGAATTATTTTTATTTTATGTTCTCACTAGAGTTCCAGTGATACCGGAAGAAGCCTCGAGGAGGTAACTGGGTATAGCCGGTGGACCCCTCAATTTGTTGGATTTTTTGGGTTTAACATTTCATTTACCAAAAAAACACCCAACAATATCTACTTACTCAACCATGGTTACATTCTAACCCAAGCTGAGTTTATTTAAAGAGAGAGAAAGTCTGAAACCAAAGCTTGTTCATATGGAAGAACTCCATCTCTCTCTCCTCTCCCTGTGTAAATAGAATCTCCCCCATTGTGTTCTTAATTTCTCTCTTCCTTCAAAGTTAGCTCTTTTCTTTATAAGTCTATAAGAGAGACAAGACCATCAAGTACTAGATGCATTAAACTGAGAGCTAAACAAACAAAGAAAAATCCTAATTTTAAAAGTTTTTTGAAAAGACCCTTTTGTAGTGTTGTTTGATGATGAAGAGATTAAGCAGTTCAGATTCAGTGGGTGGTCTCATCTCTTTATGTCCCACTACTTCTACAGGTTCTTATTCTTACAACCAAACTAATTTTCAAACAAGCCCCTTAAATTTCATAATTTTTAACTTAAATTACCTCAATTTTCCAAACAGATCAGCAGAGTCCGAGAAGATACGGGAGAGAATTTCAGTCGATGCTTGAAGGTTACGAGGAGGAAGAAGAAGAAGCCATAATTGAGGAAAGAGGACAAACCGGTTTAGCTGAGAAGAAGAGACGGTTAAGCATTAACCAAGTCAAAGCCTTGGAGAAGAATTTCGAGTTAGAGAACAAGCTTGAGCCTGAGAGGAAAGTGAAGTTAGCTCAAGAGCTTGGTCTTCAACCCCGTCAAGTAGCTGTCTGGTTTCAGAACCGCCGCGCACGGTGGAAGACAAAACAGCTCGAGAAAGACTACGGTGTTCTTAAAAACCAATACGATTCTCTCCTCCATAACTTCGATTCCCTCCGCCGTGACAATGATTCTCTTCTCCAAGAGGTAACAAAAATTCAGACAAAAAAAAAATTCAGACACAAAAAACAAATTCAGACAAAGGTTAAGTTCAGTTTAAATGTTCGGTTCTAAAAGTGTGAGACTTAATGTTTTGTCTTGATGCAGATTAGTAAACTAAAAGCTAAGCTTAACGGAGAAGAAAATCAAGAAGAAGAAGAAGATGAAGAGAACAACGCGGCGACAATGGAGAGTGATGTTTCCGTCAAAGAGGAAGAAGTTTCGTTGCCGGAGAATCTCACAGAACCACCGTCTTCTCCTCCGGAGCTTCTAGAACATTCCGACAGTTTCAATTACCGGAGTTTCACCGACCTCCGTGACCTTCTTCCATTAAAGGCTGCTGCGACGGCTTCCTCCGTCGCCGCCGCTGGATCGTCGGACAGTAGCGAGGAAAGTTGCTCAAACGTTACGGTGGCTCCGGCGACGGTTCCCGGCGGTAGTTTCTTGCAGTTTGTGAAAATGGAGCAGACGGAGGATCACGACGACTTTCTGAGTGGAGAAGAAGCTTGCGGTTTTTTCTCCGATGAACAGCCGCCGTCTCTACACTGGTACTCCACCGTTGATCAGTGGACTTGAAGAGATTTCGGATTTGGATTAAAATGCTATTTATTTTTCTCTGTGGATTTGCCGGAGAAGATGGAAAAGGGGAGGGCTGAATTGGAATAATGTTAAAGTTGTAAGGGTGAATGGGAAAATAAGGAAGGGTTAATTCGGGGCGGGAAATAATTAATCAGGGTGAATTTGTAGTTATGCTTTCTCTGGCGTTTCGTGCAGTTCTTGTAATTAAGGATCATGAGAATTTGAGAAAGAGATGAAAATTTTCAAAATGGCGAAAATTCAACATGAAATCTTTTTAGCTGAAAAAATCGACCATTTCCATTCTAGATTATTCACTTTTCATCCTTTTTAAAAATCATGAAGCGTAAAATTAGATGTGTTGATTTTGTTTGTTTTTGAAAGTATATATGTCCAAATTCAAGACATTAGAGCATGTACATTGAGGGTTTATAAGGGGGTTCACACAGTTTTCTAGATGAATAGTGATGAATTTCTCTCTCCAAAAGTTCATCCCGGTGAACCTCAAGAGGATGGAGTTCACCACGTGTCAGAAGGGGATTGATTCAATTAACTTTTTTTTTTTACAAAAAAAAGAAATCTGACAAAAAGAAAAAATAATAGTAAAATATTTTAAAGATGAACGCCAAGAGGGGTTCATTGATGTACATGCTATTAGTATCAGGGGAGGATCTAAAATTGTATTTAATTTTAAACGTGCACAAACAAATTTTTTTTTGTTGTATTTTAGTTTTTGACGAGGGTGTTCCATATATATTATACTAAATACTATTGGAAAATACAAAATTAGCTTGGTATGGTCTCGCATAAATTGTTTTTTTGGGTTTATTAAACTTCTCATGAATTTGTTTGCAACTCCTTATCAAAAGATATTATTATAATAATATGTAAACATTGATGTATATAATAATATGAACATATAAATTTTTATGTAGAATTTAGATTGATATCTCAGCAATCTACAACTCAAACAAAAAAAACATACAAATTTGTATTACAATTTCCAGTGACAGAATTTACATAATTTTTTTTATTGTTCTATTCACCATCATGATTCTAGTATTTGCAATATTTTGTTTTTGATCAAATAGTATTTGCAATATTATTTGGATGACTTTCGAAAAAAATCACTGAGATCTTTTTTCGCAAGATTAACTTGAAGACAGCTTATTCCATAATGAGACTGATTGGTAGGAGTTGTAATTTTGGATATTTTAATTTAAATGATAGATTTTGTAGTTTTAAATATAGATTTTATTATTCTAGATTTTTTCAAAAATTTAAAAGTACTAAACATAAAGCTGTAGAAATTGATTTCTACAGCCAATATATTTTCTTTTAAAGAATTTAGATTATACCTTTAGATTTTATTAATAAAGTTTTATTGTTTTAGTTTTATTATTATAAAGAAAATTGTGACTGTATAGATTCACAGCTATCACCAATCACTCTCAATATGATATGTACAATTTTTTATTCTGATTTTACTGTAGATCATTATGATTATATATGAATTCAAATTTAACACTATTTAGCTATTTTGATCAGGTATTAATATTATAACTAACACAAAATAAAAGTTGTTCAAACCAAAAACTGTATTTTATTTATTTCCAAAATTGTTTCCATAAGATTCGTTCTATTTATATTGAAAACTTATTTGTATTAAGTATCTATATTAATATAAAAATAGATAAAGGTCATCATAAACGTGATAAAGTTATTAGACAATTTATAATGGTTCACTATATTTTTCCTTTCAAAAATAGATTAATTTTATAATAGAGTTATGTTCTATTTTAATTGTACTCTAATTTAGAGTGAAATATAGAGTAATGAATAAAACATAAATAGATTACTCTATATATAGAGTAAATCTAGTTTTTACTATATTATAGAATGAAAATGAAGTATATATAAGAGATAAAATATTACTCATCGGGAATATAATTGGTATTAAATAATATAAAAAATTTAAAGTTAATCTATTTATCACCAATTGGTTTTAAATTAGAAATTCATAATAAATTCGAAATTAACATGATATCATAATCATGTTCTAAATATGCTAAACGCCTAATTAATATAAATCTTCTTGACCGGTTATAGAGGTCGTAGTTAATCTTCTGATCGGATATAAATATCATACTAGCCTCGCTCAACTAAGTATAAATGTTTTAGAATTTTGAAATTTTTGATTGATAATAACTATCATCTTAGAGAGAGGTATTAAAGATAAAATATCTTACATCAAAAATTTAATGAAACTTTAATTAATATATTAAAAATTATAATCAATCTATTTATCACGAATTGATTTTAAGTCGGAAACTCATAATAAACATGAATCTAATAGTATTGGAGTATTTTTACGCTAAACTCTATTTTAGAGTGGAAGAAAATGAAATTGGAAATGCACAGCAATAATATATATTGCTTTCATAGGTGCCACTGAAAATAGTGATTGCATTAAGAAATTTTGAAGCGTTACCGGTTAGAGTAGTGTAAACATAAGTGTTACATACTTTTTTGAAAGGCTTTTAAACGTAACGTCACCTTTTCTTGCACCAGCGTGTTATTTTATTTTGTACCACTTTTTTTATGACACTACGTTGTACTACTCTCATGTACCATGCGAGTGATTAGTTTCCTAAAAAATAGTACAATTCGTACTATCATAATAGAAAGATCATAGAATGCCGTTTAGGATAACATTTAGGTATTTGTTATAAGTGGCTTTTACATTATTTTGAAACCTGAAACTGTCTAAAATGGATGTAATAGTGGACAAGTTCATGATATACGTTTGTCTTTTGAGAAGCTGATAAAGCCATATGAGGATAACACTCGATGGTAGAATATAACTTTTTTTCGTCAAGAATATATAATTAATCAAAAAAACACTATCCATCAAAAATTCGCCCTAATTTTTCTCTCGTCTTCGCCACCGCCTAGCAACTCACTCTTCTAAATCCACGATTCTCCGGCCACTGGCGCTTCTCGCCGGTACCGAAGAGGCTCCTTACTGTCTTAGTTATCTTTAGTCTCTGGTTTTTAGTCAAGGGGAGTTGAGGATCTGAGTTCATGTCGGTTTCGATGTTAGTTGGCATGGCTGTGATTGTTCGATACTTTAATCTGGTTCACGGTGGTTGTTTGCGCCGGTTCAGATATGTGGTTTAGATGTTCTTTCGGATCTGGTTTGTAGCTTCTCAATCAATACTCATGGAGACCATTGGATTCAGTTTGTCTCTCTCTTCCCTCTTTATCTAGTTATTAGTGAATTTGTATTCTTGTGTGGGTTGGTGTTGTCTTGTCTTCTTCGGAGTTTAGTTGTGTGTGTAAGTTGTATCGACGGATGATTATATAGAGGGGCTATGTATTTCGGGTATGGCTTTCTCGCCGCTATGAGTTCCACAAGTCGTAGTTTCTGAACTGGGGGGCTCCTGCTTCTTCTCGTTCTCTCGATCTTTTGGTGGTTTGCATTCATCAAAGTCTCGTTTGTGGGGTTCATTTTTTGGATGGTAAGTTGCTGTGGAGGTATCTACTTGCTTTCTCTTCGCCTTTCATGGTGTGTGGAATGAAGTTTCAAGACGAAGCAGTGGTTTCGATCTCTGGCTCTTCTCTTGCGAGGAGGTGACCATTCTCTTGCTTGTATATGGTTGAATTTGGGTACATGAGTGTCCGCGTGTTTGAGTCGTTGGTCCTTTTTGATGTTATCCCCACTTGGAGTTTCAAGACTCGTTCTTGTGCTTTGCTTTCTTGAGGATCTGGTTTGTCGTTGTAGACGGACGGTTAGTAGTTATTGGCTTTATGGTGGTTTTGGTCTTTCATTTGTTTATGTCGTGGTTGTAATCGTGAGTTTGTGGTTTCAACCTGGTGGTGTATGGTCTTCTTAAGTTCTGGTTTCTAGGTTCAGCACGTGCTTCTCCAAGGTCTTCAGAATGAACGATCGTCCGTCCTCGCTTTGGAGTTTGATTTGACTCCTTCTATTCTTAAGCATTTCAAAGTACACTTTCTTTTAGCTCTGTTATGTTGGGTTTGATCATGTTTCTCTTGTTGTTTCTGGGATGTTTGATCTGTAAACTCGCCGCTTTATGACTCTGAAAAAGTTGTATACATTTGCCAGCCCTTTGTGTAATCTTTTGTTCGATATAATATTAATCCACCATATGACAAAAAAAAAATTAATACTCAAATAGGCATGTTCGATTCAGAGTAGTATATATGTTTGAGAAGTGTGGTTTGAGTAAGAAATTTTGAGACTTAAAAAAAAAAAAAAAAAAAAAAATCTCGAGACTTATCTATACTGTTATTTAAGAAGTAAATTTGCTTAGTTGTCATGTTCTCCATAAGTTTAGGTGATTTTGTTTATTTATGATATTCTTAATATTTATATATACTTTATTTATAAATAAAACGAATTTATATGAATATATCATATTTTTAGTAAATAAGATCATTCTTGTGAATTATGTTGTTATCTTGAAATATAATTTTATATATAAAACTTAAATTTTAAAGTAAGATATAAACACTATTATATTTATCTAAAAGAATTTCTATTAATAATTTAATATTTAAATATAACTAAAACAAATTTATATTAATAATTTAATATTTTCTAAAATAAGAGAATCATTATGGATTATGTTGTTATGTTGAAAATATATTTTCCTATTCTAAAACTTAAAATTAAGATATATTTAGTTATGATTTAATTAAGATATATTTAATTTTTATATATAAAACTTAAATTAGTTATTTAATTAAGATATATTTAATTTTTATATATAAAACTTAAATTTTAAATTAAGATATAAACACTATTATATTTATCTAAAACGAAATTATATTAATAATTTAATATTTTCTAAAATAAGAGAATCATTATGGATTATGTTGTTATGCTGAAAATATATTTTCCTATTCTTAAAATAAGGATATATTTAGTTATGATTTAATTAAAATATATTTATTTTTTATATCTAAAACTTAAATTAGTTATTTAATTAAGATATATTTAATTTTTATATATAAAACTTAAATTTTAAATTAAGATATAAACACTATTATATTTATCTAAAATGAATTTATATTAATAATTTAATGTATAAATATAACGAAAACGAATTTATATTAATAATTTAATATTTTTCTAAAATAAGATAATCATTATGGATTATGTTGTTATGTGAAAAATATATTTTCCTATTTATAAAACTTAAAATTAAGATATATTAGTTATGATTATATTTAATTAAGATATATTTAATTTTTATATATAAAACTGAAATTTTAAATTAAGATATAAACACTAATATATTTATCTAAAACGAATTTAATTAATAATTTAATATTTTTTTAATATAAGATAATCATTATGGATTATGTTGTTATGTTGAAAATATATTTTTCTATTATAAAACTTAAAATTAAGATATGAAAATTATATTATTAATAATTAAATATAAATCATTAAAATAATTATTTGAAAAGTGAATTTATTGATTTGACTCCATGATCCTAGGTAATTTTAATCATTTATTAGAATTTCTATAATTTTGTTTATTATTGATTATATAACTAAAACTGATTTATATTAATAAATATTCATACGAGAATTATGTTCGCAAGTGCGGGAAAAACACCTAGTATTTGTGATAACAAAAATTTGGGAGTAAAAATAGAATTATTCTTTTACTCATACATTGTATGTGTGGATAGAGATTTAATAATAAGAAAATTATTCACATTCACCTCCTTCAGTGGTCCGAGTAGCTACCTTCTTCTTTATCTCTAATTCATCAATCTATCTTCGATATCTCTCCTTCTCTATTTATAGGAATGAGAGTTAACAAATTTATTTAGCCAGTTTTCTCATTTGGCTATCCTGTCATTCATCATTAGTTATAAATTAGTGATAGAACTTGAGTATATGATGGGGCCATTCCATGTTTAGTCTCATACTTGTGTATGGCATTCCTCTAGCAATTTAGATCATCTTTAGACATTTTTTTGTGAATAAATTAACTATAATAAATTAGAATATACTAGAAAAATATAAGACATCATTATTTCGAAATGATTTGATCATTTGCATTTTATTAAATAATTTCAAACAAAATTGTAGAGAAAGAATTATAATGTAATTTAGAATAAAATGTTATAGAATCAAAATTTTAATTACATTATCTCAAAATGACGGTGTTATATCAGTATTGTAATATGAGAATCTAGATACTGCATAGACAATTCAGCACATGCTAATTCATTGCAGAGTGGCAAAGGAAATTGAGTTTGGTATCTGCCACTCGAAGATATGCTGGAGTTCCCACTGTCATATCCCTTATATATTAAAAGAGAAGCATTGTAATAAATGCGTTCACACAATAACTGACACGTGTCAGTCTTATAATCATTCGACAATAAATGCATTCACACACTAATTTTTTAAATGCATTCACACACTAATTTTTTAAATTCATTATTTAATGTGTTTATACATTATTTTTTAATCAATTCATTTTTCCTACATTTTTAACTTTTGTATTAATAAATTAAAACTTTCTTCGTGAAACTAATGAAGAATATCTTTATTATAAAAAAAAATACAAAATCATTAAGATTCACATCAAATAAAATGTTGAGATGAAAATGTTTGTAGAAATTATAAGTTTCGTACTTTGCCGAAGTTGGTCATGATTGAGGCTTCATGACACAATAAAAACAAATAAGGTGATTGATTATGAATTAAAGAAACTGAGGTGAAAAACACAATATGTAAAGTCGGATCTTTAGTTTAGTCAAATATTAACATTTTTATAAAGTTTTCATATCAGACCAAGAATTAGAAACAAAAATCAAATTGGTAGAACATCAGAAAAGCTTTAAAAAGAAATAAAAATCACAAATCGATTAAAAACATAATTCATGTACCAAGTGAAGATGTCACTTTGTAATATATATTATTTTATTGTTTACGGGTACAATTTGATTTTCTTCATATGAAAATATGTTATTAATTCTAGGTTTGTTTTATTTTTACTTAATTTTGTTTAAGAGTTGACTATCATGTGTTATTTTGAACAATTTTTAAAAATCTTAACTAACGGTATATTCATATATTTATCATCACATTTATATACTTTTACATATACATACATGTACACATTGACATGAGCGACTATATAACTAAATACCACAAGTGGGAATTTTAATTCTTATTGAAGTTGATTTTTTTTTAATGTTTTCTTTCACTATCGCTCAAATTGTAGTGAAATGTTTTATGTTAATAATTTTTTTTTTTCTTTTTTTTTCAAATATTATTTAGATTTTCTTTGATTTTACATGTCTTTAGAATTATAATAAGAAACTATTAGTTCGACATAAAAAATGTCTCAAATTTATATAAAACGAAACCAAACAAATAACAATAGTTTTTGGTTATCATCGAAAAAATCAAAAACATCAAACATTTAAACCAAACAAAGCAAAATAAATATAGATTTAGAATGATAGTTATATTTTAGGAGATTAAAAAACAAACGTAAAACTGAAGCAATATTCATACTAAACAGACATAATATCATTTTCATCTTAAAAATAACAAAAGCAATAATCTCATTCTGCGTAAGGCGCGGATTATTACCTAGTATAACTATATTATTCCATGTTAGAAAAAGTCAATACTCATCCACATAATTATTTGCCTTTCTTTATAGGATGGAGAATATGGAAAATGCGAAACAAGCTTATATTTGAAAACATGAGAGATCACACTGTTAGAACTACTCATGCTGCAATACTGGATGAAAGAGTATGTGACGAAGCAAAACAACAGAATATTTTTAACCCACATGTCATTTCATCGTCTCTCTCAAAACTCTCTTAACGATATTCTCCATCATACAGGTATGTACTACATTGTAAACGGATCCTGGAAGTCACCAGCTGAGAAGGCTGGAATAGGGTGGTCCTTATTCAGTAGAGAAGGCATTCCTAGACTGCATGGAAGCTCTGAAATTGACCCTACTACCTCACCATTCATTGCAGAAGTGAGGGCTATGTTGTCAGCAGTTCAGCAACTACGTACATGCACTTGCTTATACAGAAGTGGTTTTTTTAGGAGATTGCATGGAATTTGGACAGCCCATCACGACAATGTAAGGGCACTAGCGTTGGTTGTATGGTTGCTTATGTTATTATTTGTATTGGAGTTTAAAGAATATGAATGACCAGGATTTTAAAAATTAGTATATGAGGAAGACTGATCCCTGAAAAATAATTTGGTTGGATTTACTTTCCTAACCTTTTTATTTATTGATATACTTATTTTGAATCGAATAATAGGTATTGAACTATTTAAAAATTAACTGCTTAGATATTTTGAGTTAGGTATTTCACTAATCATATATTAAATACGTGTGTAAATGATTTGGATACTTTGCATGTTCCATAATATGTAACCTCGAAGATACCTAATTTAAGAAAGTAGAATGCCATGAAAATTAAGCTTAGTCGTGCCATTAAAATTGTATCATTATAATTTGAACTCGACTAAATTTAATTGTATCATTGTATCATTATCATTATACATAATTGTATCATTATACCTACAAGTATAAGAAAGTAGAATGCCATGAAAATAAAATCTAGAGGATTCAAATTCCTTAAATTAATTAAAACCTTTTTTATTATTAAGATACTTATTTTGAATCGAATAATAGTTATCGAACTAATTACAAATTATCTGCTTAGATATGTGTAGTTAGGTATTTTACTATTCATATATAAAAGATGTGTTGGTTTGGATATTTTCATGTTCCATAATGAATAGCCACGAACTGATGAAGATGCCTAGTTTAATTCGAGTCTACAAGTAAAAGAAAGTAGAGATGCGATGAAAATAAAGACCTAGAGGATTTTAAATCGGACTTATTTGTCAAATAGCCAGTAAAAAAAATTAGATTTTTAGAAAGAGAGAAAAGTGAGATAGGAAGAGGTTGGAATAGAGAGAAAGGGAATTTTGCTAGTTACCTAATTTTTTTTTTGTAGCTATAGGGTGTAATTTTCCTTTCAAATTCCCTAACAATCGGATTATTAGAAATGTGATATATGTTATCGGCCTAATCTTCTTTGTAAGAAGCACTAACGTATACAAGTATTTGTGCTTAATCTTTACGTGAAATTGTGATGTACATTTTTTTGGCAAACGATGGTCCTAATAAAATGACTATATGCAATGCCAGATTATGATATAGCTTAAGATTTTGCGGCTAAAAGTGAAATTGTTAAAGTAGGGGTAGAATTTAGGGGTTTTGCAAAACAGGGGGATAAAAGTAATAGGACAAAAGAAGGAAGAAGAGAAAGGGAACACGAGATTGGACATCAAAGACATCTTTACTTTCATAATCCCACGACCACGACATATCTCTCTGTATTTTATTTAATTTTTGGAAAGCATCGAAAGTAATTTTTCCATATTCAGACAAATGTGAAGACTTCAAAAATAAATAAGGACGGACAACAGGTATATATATATTCAAGACTCGATCTAATATTATCTGTAGATAGAATATCTTAACAGAAAGGCCATTAGAAACATGATATATGTTTAGTCACATAATGACAAACATGAATTGAAGAGTTGTTTTTTTTCAATTGCAATTATAGTCCAACAGAATGTAAATATAGTACTAGAATTATTTCGTCGTTATTTCATAATGTTTGCCAGCTACTGTTAGACTTGGGTTTATCATAAACCGTTTATCTATAGAGAAAAATTGTGGACTAAACTTATGTAACTAGTTGTGGTGGTAAAAATTAATAAATATACAATCATTAACCTTTTGAGAGTTTATTTGTAATTTTTCATTACCAGTGAATATTGGTTACCCTAGATATAATCAAAAATGAAAAGATTTTAAACTAATCAATCATTCCTTGTTAAATTTTTAGAAATTAGAATATCACGAAGAAAAAAACAGCTTTTGGAAAAACAAGAAACCAGTATAAGACTATAACCAAAGACACATAAATTGTTTAGTTCATTATTGATGCAATTTAGGTATGATCTAATCTGGAAAAATACAATTAACTTAACGTCAATCCTTAACCTTAAGTTGAAATCCTTAAAAACAAAACCCTAAGTTGAAATCCGTAAATCTGAAAGAAGCTCTAACATAATGTTAGGAAAACTATAATATGTTAACAAAAAAAGGAAAACTATAATAAAAATATATAAACAAAAAAGTCCAACAAAAAATATAATATACATAAAGATGGATAAATTCAGGGAATAAAATATAACTCGACGTGAAGGATAAATCATGAAGGTGCTTTATAGAAGAAGAAAAGGTCGTCAGTCGTGATTGTGCGCGTACGTGAAGTGGAAGCATGAGGCATCATTGTTAAGTGAATCTATCGAAGAACTATAAAAAAATGAAAAAGATGATGCAAATCGTCTGACACGTTCAGAAGCTTTACTCACGTCATGAATAGCATCTGAAATTGAGGCAATCAGATCTTAACAACACCACTGTCTATATTACTATTTTCTGAATTAACAATATTTCTATTACCTGAATTATTTATATCCATATTTTAAATATCTGGAGTATTTTAAAGTATCCAAATCCCTATCCAGTGCATCCATGTTTTACTATCTTTATCCGAATCTAAATATTCATATTCGGATATTAGATATCATTTTAAAAATTGTAATATACGACGGATATTCGGATTCAGATTTAGATTAAAATAAAAATAATCTTAAAATATATAAAATATTACTAATAATTTTAAAATAAATGTATATATAAATTTTTAATCGACAATATTTTGGATCGAATCCACATTTCGGATGATAAGTCCCGGACCTAATACTAAGATAGCTGTTTTTATTTTGGGTTACTATTTTTGTGTATGTTAATGTCCATACTATTATTTGTAAAATTATTTTTTAGATTTGAATTCTCACATTCAAATTAGAGCGGTTAATATCATTATTACTATTAAGGAATAGTTATATAGAATTGTTTATAATTAACATTAACAACATTATAGTTAGCTACGTTTTTTTTTGTTTAATGAAAATATGTCTTACTTTCATAAGAAGCCAACTGCTTTATAAATAATAGTTTGATATTGTTTATGTTTATTATTTACTAATATTTTATTTTATATTACATAACTGATAACCAAAAAATCACAAAGAATGTTTGAAATAAAGAAGTTTCTTATAAATATTTACATTATATGACTGTTTCCAAGTTTTTATGTAAAAATATATGTTTGTATATTTCCAGGTTTTTACATAAAAATATATTTTGATAAAAGTTACATTATATATAAATAGTTTATTAAATTTCCGAGTGCATGAACAAAAAATTAATTTTATGGTGTTTAAATCAATAATACAATTAATAATAAATATTAGTAAGAATACAGGCAAAACATCTAGTATTAACATAAATACTCATTTACTGTTGTTATTTTTGTATTTACAGCTATCAATTTTGAATTTATTAAAAGAAAAATTCTTTTGGATAGCTTTTTAATTTTATGTTTACAAAAAAGCCTTTAAAGAGTAAAATGACCAAAATATTTTTTTATTATAAGGTAAGCATGCACTTATACTCTTGAGTTAACTAATTTAGACTTAGGGTTTAGAGTTAAATGGTGGAGTTGTGAGTTTCGAGTTTTAAATTAAAAAAAAATAAAAATAAAAATTACATATATCAAAATAAAAAGGACTATTTAGTTATTTTAATTTTAAAAACTATTTTTGTCATGAAAACTTAAAAGGGGCTATTTGAAAGAATTGTCATTTATTATATTGTCATGTTAGTTGCAATTAACCGGAGAACTTTAATTTATATGTTGTATAGATGCTTTGCATCCTAAATTAGATAAACATTGATGCATGTATAAATTTAACAAAATATATATATATATATATATATTATCAGACTTAGACAAAATCACACATGTCATGATCATTAGTATTATAAATTAATCATATCTACATATTCTATAATTTACTTATTCTAGTTACATTAAATTAAATGATAGATATATAAATGATATACTGGAATTCACAAGTAACACTCTTCTGGATTTTTGCTTATGATTTATAGGCGATACTATTTGAAATTAATTTTGGGTTTACCACTATTGATTTTGTAAAAAGAAATACGTAAAACTAAAAAAATAAAGAGAGATTCAGAATTTTGTGAATTTTTGTTTTAAAAAATATAAATTTTGCTTGACAAAAATAAACTATTCCCTCCGTTTTATATTACATGATCTTTTAACCCAAATGCACAAATATTATAAAAAAAAATTTAACTGATTTATTTAATTAGAAATATAAGTAATAAAAATATAACTGTTACACAGCTTTTAATAAAATTAAAGTAGTATAGATTTATTCAAACTTCGTCTATTATGAAACAAAACAAATTCTCTAAAAAAGATCATCTATCTTATTAAAACAGAATCATATCTTTGGATCTAATTTCTTTTTGTAAGTTTTTAAATTAAATAAACATTTCTAATTTATAGTTAACTAATTATTAACACTTCTTTCTTTATACTAATATCCATTTTTTCAAACAACATTATAATTAGTTTTGTATGCAAACGATATAAAACATTAGAATTTTTAATAAATTATTTTGATAAATTAAATAACTGAAAAAATAGTTTATAAAAAAAATATAGAACTATTTTTGCAGGTTTAAATACTACAAAAATAATTCAGTCAATAACAAATAAATTAATTTAACTGATTATTTTATTTATATTTCATAAATAATGGCTATAATATTTATATAAGTAAAATAATATATATACTATAATTGAAAGTAAATACACTGTATAATAACAAAAATATTCAAGAAAAATATTCAAAATATATATTATCTGAAGAAAATGCTTAACACTAATTGATATGAATCAAACTATTAGTAAGATAAATTAAAGTTAATTAAGATATATACAAGGAGTACTATGATTAAGACATATTTATAGTTCTTAATTATTTTATATACATCATTTTATCTATCAATTTTTGTAGAAACATCATAATTTCATATAATTACAAAATAATGAACTTCAAAATTTAGATTAACAAGTGAAAATTATGAAACTTTAACAATGTTAATCAAATTGGATTTACATATCAGTTATTTATTGGTTCAGTCAGTTACTCTCGGATTTTAGTAATTTTAAA